AATCGATTATTCTATCGGCAAGGTTGGGTTCTATCAGAACGCCAACACCGGCCTGAGCGCTAGTCGTGATGTCGACGCCTGAGTAGAAAAGCTTCCATCCATTGAGGTTCAGGAGTCCAGAGCCTGGGTGTTTTGTTGACAAGAGTCGAACAGTATCGAGTTGGTACTTCATGGCCTCATGAACTAATTCTTGGTCTTTTCCTCTGAATGAGGATATGTTCCAATTTCTGACTTTAAGCTCCTACTGGTGATGTCGTTCCCGTGGACCCTTTTCTGACGTGCTGTAATGGCATCGCGCTGTTTGCCTCCTCCGTTCAGAACGGGTAGCGACTCCGTTGCTGAGTGGTATTTTCGTCGTCGTTGCATCGGTGTTCGTCAGCCGTCGTTGTGCTGCCACGCTCCTGGCTGGCAGAGGGCAATGAGCAGGTTCTGATCCCCGACTTTTTGCAGTCTGCCTCAGTCTTCGAACAGCCTGGGCGGCGCTTGGTAAACCGGGCAACGACCGAGCTGGTATAATTTTCGATGGCGTCAATATCATGAGTAGCAGGTGGCTAAATTTTACGGAGACTTGCCACGGTCTCCAACCCTCCTCCTTTCTCATCTGGGCTTGGACCGGCAATGGCATAGTTTTAATGTTTTTAAATTTTTAAATTGAAACAATATAAGTTTACTTTTGCTCCTTTTGCTAATCTTTAGTTGCTATTAACTGGGTAAACTTAAATAGCAGTCGTAAAGTGCACGCATCTGGCACCATTGCCGTATGTTTCACCATCTTTGATATGACCGTACCAAACCACTATGGTCACCCTGGTTTGCATGTCAAAGACAAGTGTTTTAATCTTGCTTAGGGGAATTAGCAGCTAATAAGAGAAAATTTACGCCAAGTTTGGGTTTGAACCCAGCATCTCTAAAATGCAAAGCCGCATAGTAATCCGTTCCGACTGTCTCCTCAATATATCTTAGTGAAGTATGCAGTTCCAGTTTGCAGTATTTTATTATATAAGGCAGTGCTTTGACTGTGAACAATGTTTAGCGGGTTGACGCTGCTTGTAACAATCACAGCAGCATTAATACATTAGGTGAATAGATTGAAAGGATCATTTGCAATTAGTTCAACGTGATTACTCATGTTACTTCGTATTATCACCTTTCCTCTAAAGGAGATGCCTGTTTTGTAATATATGGGTCATTTCAGTGTTCCTCATTGAATTTCAATTCTATTTTTTACTCTCATGCCCATCCACTTCCGCCGACGTCATGCAGTGCATGTCATCAGATGTTGAGCCATCCCACCAGCGATTCGCCACCTCAAGATACCAAATCATTGTGGATTTTGCTCTCAACAGTTGCGCACTTTGTAATTAGTATTTAAATATTTAATTTAAACATTGCAAAGCTGCTTAATTTAAGACCATTGCCTTAGCGCTGTTGAATTTTTCTGTAGAAGACGCCTGTTGATTTAGCAGGCATATTTGTGTGCTTTTTTTTTATAACATCAAGAATTTGAGTGTGACGCAGTATGCTAATAAACACTTAACTACTCCGAAACAGGCTTCATGATTGTATCCTGAAGTTAATAATTCTATATGAATAAGGTAATTAACTAATTTAAGTACGAACATTGACAGCCAGCCTCTGCAAATGTTAATAAAGCGGATATCCTTTTTCACGAGCATTCCTTTCGATTCACGTTACCGTCTATGATTCCTCAAGAGTTTCAGCCGCAGTACGAGCTATAGCTAAGCCTACTGCTAACATGCTCCCTACCCTCTCTGCCAAACTGTGCATATAGGTTGCTCTTATTCTAACTGAGCATCATTAAATCCATATGAAACAGCATGCCTTGAAGTGCAGAGCATTGGTGTTTTGGGGAAATTGTAATCGCCGTTCCTCAACACCGATGAAGCTCTTGAAGAGGAAGCATGACGTGTAACCATCAGACTCTAAGTAACTCCATTTTCCATTAACTTAAACACTCGAAGGTAGCCGAAATCAGGCGATTCTCTTCTGATGTTTACGTAACTATGCCTGAGTATCTATAAACTCACACAGCGTCGGAAATTTTTCGTTACATTCTTCTTTGCGGGAGCGCGATTATGTCTCAGACAACCTTCAAGAGATTTATTCTTTCATCATATTCAGCTACGTTTGCAATTATGAATAGATTTTATTCTTAGGCAAAACTGAACGTCGAAAATTTGACACTTGAACTGGATATGGCGAAAGCGGCCCCTTCGATAGACCCTTCGGTCGCTGACTCTTATAATCACCTGCGTCAGTCTTTGCAGCAGAATCACGAAGAACTCAGTCAACTGAGGGAAGAAAATCTGGCACTTAAACAGACACTGACGAATACAGAGGCAAAATTGTAAGTAAATTTTTAAGTGTCTTTGCCTTATAATTTCTTCCTTCTATTTTCCATGACTAGTAAACGCGACCCTAAAGTAGGAGAACCTCTTCATTTGTTCTACTGCTACTTCTCCATTTATCTGCAGGGCGCCATAGGTAGATATTGTCAGTCCAATGATTTTCTAAAACCGACGTTTCGGATGGTTTTCTCACTAGCCTTCTTCAAGGTAAGAGATTGGTAGAGTTTCAGAGGTTTTTCTTGTGTCCGCAGCATTGGTAGGTCTAGAACCAGAAGTCTTCTGGTTCTTCCAACCTCCTACCTTGAAGAAGGCCTTTGACAGGCTGAAACGTAGTTGTTTGACA